GCAAGCAGCTAAAAGAACTTGGAATCTTATTACGACTGGATTTAGCCACACAAGAAACAATTTTGTAGACTGCTTGCCAAACAAAGGCGTATTCATGTAACATTCTTTTCCTAAGCAAAAGCCACCAATTCCTACAATCCAAGCTCCCACCAATACATTTAAAATAAATTTAAAAAAAAAGAATTAAAAAGTTAGATTGGAATCATCAGTAATTCTTTTGTTCTGGCAAGCAGCTAAAAGAACTTGGAATCTTATTATGGCTGGATTTAGCCACACAAGTAACAATTTTGTAGACTGCTTTCTTAAGCAAAAGCCACCAATTCCAACAATCCAAGCTCCCACTAATACATTAAAAAAAAAAAAAAGAAGAATTAAAATGTTGATTGGATTCATCAGTAATTCTTTTGTTCTGGCAAAAGATGCTTTCTGGAATTTAGAATTTGTCAATGCCAGAAAATAATTTTTAGCAACTAAAATGTCTTCTTAGCATGACTCTTAGATGAAAATCGACATTAAATATTCCAACCATTGCACTACTAACTAGCCCACAAAAACCAAAAAAATAAAAACCTGGTATATGGGTCTGACATAGATTCAGTGGGATTTCCAGCTACATATGGCTGCTGAAGTTCTGCAGAATGAGATTGACCACTCTGTGTTGGCAAAGGGACTGCCGTGGCTTCAGCAGGGTTTCCAACTACATATGCCTGCAGAGGTTCTGAAGGGTAATATTGATCACTTGTTCTTGAGAGAGGTTGTGACTCTATAGCTGGATAAGCATGGCTCATATTTGTACCAGCTCCATAATATTGATCACTTGTTGTTGGCAGAGCTAGTGGTTCCATAGCCAGATAAGTGTGGGTCATATTTGCATGGTGTGATTCCTGTGAAGGTAGAACCCCATGTGGAATATTTTTGGGCCATAAAACTGGTTGAAGATGACTTTGGAGCATGCTAGTTCCATTTGTATCCACTTGTGCAGGCACCTTTAAAGCTGATGCAGTTTGATGTCTCACTGACAGATGGGCATGACCTGTGTTCAATAGAGGTCTGTAACAATCATGCTGCTCAAGGCCTTTCTGCCTAACATGTTGATGCAGCCCAGCATATTGAGGCCCCGGGAAAGGCAGCCCTGATTGTTTTTCCTTAACTGAAAGAGGCATGGGCTGCAAAGAATTTGGTGCTGACACCACTAATGGGCGAAACAATGAGAGTAGACTGCTTACCTGCACCATGCTAACATAATCTATTTAGTACAAGAGAAGTTGTAGTATGAATGAATCAATCACCAAGAAAGATTTAAGTTTCACAAAGGCTTCTCACTTGATGCTTGTTCAGTTCTTGGCTGAACTTAGTGCCCTTTTGATAGTTATACTCGATGGCCTGTCTAAAAGAACTCTCCAGCAAAGGTAAACAATCCTTATAAATCTTGAACCTCACCTGAAAAATTATAACTTGAAAACAGAATATGAAAAACAGCTGGAAACCATTTACCTAGAATGAAATACGGGCCTGTGCTCCCAGATAAATATCGAAGACATAGAAAACATCGGATAGAATAGATGTTGTAGATCTCATGTGTGAAAGACATGTCTCATTTTGGAAAATGGGAGTAACCTCTAAAATGCTGGATAGAATGTAAACAACTAAATAGCTTTTCAACTCATATTATTTGACAGTTTTACAAGTCAAATAGAAGCAAAGTGTTGAAATGGCATTTCCACCGATACTTTTATAGAAGGCAAATTCAGTAATCACGTCTATCAACTTCAGAAAAAATCATTTTGGCAGAAAGAAAACAAAAGAAAAAAAAAAAAATTCCCAAGAGCATCAGCCAAATCCACCTGGATACCTTCTAGACCAGTATCTAAGCATGGATCTTCAGTATCAACAATCTAGGTGTGTTACTTAGGCTTGTTTGTTCTTGTGCTTAGATCTTCACCCTGCATGTATCTAAATGTTAAAGAGTAGCATTAGAGCACTTGCCTGTGCAGGAAACCTCCCACTAAAAGCAGCCTCTTCCAAATTCAACTGTCCACTAGAGGCTGCCTCATAAATTCCATAGAGAAGCTTCACTTCAAAATCATATAAAAAGAGCTTCATGCCTGGTTTGATTTTTGCAAGAACCTCCCTTTTCCCAGCAGGAAGTCCAAAAACACGGTATTGGTAGCATTGTGGTTTTGTTCTTCCATTACACATAAATATAAAACCAGAAAGTTCTTCATGATTGTGCCTGTCCTTCTCATTTTCCTGCATGGCAGTCTTACCACAATAAGAAGCAGGAGCTTGAGCAGGATCAGAATAATAGGAAAGACCAGAAACACTAGAAAGAGATGCTTGGCTATTTAAGGCCATATTAAGCAATTCTATTCAATTTTCAACTTCTTGACTCCTCCCTCTCCATAGACGGAGCTGTCAAAATTGAATAAACCAAAGGTAACACTTAGGATATCTCAATCACAATAAGAACGACGAGAAATTTGAGAATTTTAAAACATGAAAGGACTACCATGACAAAGCAGCATAATCACATACATTTCAAAAGCCATTTTATGCAATGTGCACCTACATTGCCAATCTCCCATGAAAATTTTTCCTCCCCTTTTCTCTTACTGAACTTATCCAAAGACCAAACCAAACCAAATCATGTAATCTTTCATATTCTATCTCTCACAACACAACATTGTTCTAGACGTAACTTTTACAAGAATTTTCAGCATTTTAACGCCCAACTTAAGTACATGCATAGAATAAAGAATCAATATAAGCATTTTAGCACTCGATTTCAATGCATGCACGAAATGAACAACCAATTTCAGCATTTTAACACCCAATTTAGCAGTACATGCATAAGCCCTACACTCATTATATAGCTCAAACCCTCTATCATGAAACGGACAAAAATGATCACGCCAAAACAAGCAACTAACTAACAAAGCATGGAGAAAAAAGTATTATTGCGCATGAAAAAAACCATGAAAAACATAAAAACTCACAGAAAATTGGGGTTTCTGGTGGTCGCTCACGGCGCAACGGTGGCTCCAGGGCGGAGTACGGAGGCAGTAAAGGCTCTTTACGCCGCTGATGCTGAGGGACTTACTGCATCGGTTTTTTATTCTCTCTTTTTTCGGTCAGATTTTCATTTCTTGGCTCCACGTGTATATGAGATTTTTTATGAACAGTAAACTGCAATATAAAATTAAAATGTTTTAATATTTAAAATGTTAAAATTACTTTTTAATTTATTTTTGATATTTTTAATGTAATTTTTTAATTTTTTAAATATAAATTTTAAATAAAAATTTAATAATTTATATAGATAATAAATAAATAAATAATTTATTTTTAATTTTTATTGAATATTTTTATTTAATAATTTTTAAAAAAATTATTTATCTAATATATTAAATTTTTATTTAAAATTCATATTTAAAAAATCAAAAGTTAAACTAAAATTACTAAAAATAAACAAAAGAAGTACTTATAAAATTATTTAAATATTTTTAACAAAATTTTCTAATTTGTTAATTTACTAAGAGCATTTAAATTTTGTATTATTATTATTATTATTTTAATTGTTTGATTTTTTTGTAATTCCTAAGTAGAAAACAAAATTCTGGTAATACTATAATTATATTCTTACTAACATTTAATGAAATATGATATAATATTAAATAAATATATATATAATATCATAAATAAATTTTTTAAAAAATTAATTATATAATAACATATTATATTATATACTTATAATATACTGTAATATTATAATTATAATATTTTTTTCAAATATTTTGGGTAAATGATTTCTCGACGACAGATTTAGCGTGCCGTAGTCAGGCTAGTGCAGCTAAGCCCGCGAGTGGGGACCGGAGGGGCATAAAATCATATTTGAGGGTGTGGATTGGTTCCACAATACATTTGATTCATGCTCAGAAGAAGAAAGAACCATTCTAGGTCAGGACTCAGGAGACAACATGGGCTGACTTCTAAGGTGTTTCAAAGGTTGCTGCTTGTGGGTCGTACCTTTACCCCTTCCCCTAAAAATTTCCCATGTTTGAAAACAAATAAATAAAGTCTCAATATACTCCAACTTAGTATTGTCCCCAAAAACAAAGGGGTTTTTAAGATTTCATACTTGGAACTTTTCTATAAGTTGGAATTTGTAATTGTGTACATATGTTCATTGCAACCAAAATTCTTATGACAAAGCCTCTCAAATTTAAACCACCTAGAAACCAATAACAGAGAGTTGAGGCTTCTCCTGAACTATTTATCACCTTCATTCAGATTCTGATTCGATTTTTACTAAACTAGACTAGAATTACTCCCCTCCAGCTCCATAAAAACAAAATGAGGAATAAAGGCAGAATGCTTGGATTTAACTTCAACTAGATCTTGTGCAATCCCACGGTTAAGTCGGAAGATATGGATATTAGAAGGGGAAGAGAGGAGTGCCATTCTGCTTTGAACACTCTTTTCTGATGAGCTGTTATGGATTGAGATGGCTTTTGTGCATTGTACCTGATATCGAAAATGTGGATGACAGGGTCTGCTGAACCAGACGTGAGGTATAACCCATCAGGAGACCAAGCCTGGTTTATCAGAGCTGAGTGTGAATCACTACTCTCTTGCTTCCACCCAAAAGCATGGATTTCTGTCTGCCTCAATCTAATATCAAATAGTCGGAGCTGCTTTTCATGAGTCCTGCATGAAATACAAATTGCTGGTAAGAACTTCACACCACCAGATAATGTTTTAATACCATGATATTTCAACATTCAAAAGAACAAGTTTTCTAGATGTCTGATGAAGAGGTTCACAATAGCTGTTTTTAAGACCTAATTTCAAGAGAATTTCTTTTATTAGTCAAGAGACTGAATGATACAAAAACTCAGCAGGATATTTGTGCCATTCTTAGTGGGAATCCTCCCAACCCTAAATTCCAGGCACCAGCAGGTGCAAGGCACATTTCGGTAGTAAATTTGATCCTATCACATTGAATACTAATCCTTTTGCAGCATCTCCCATGAAAATGCGACTAGCCAAAAATTTTTCTAAAAGTTCTTTTAAGAGAGATTTGAGTTCATTGTGTTGCTCAGCTGTCAGCCTGTCACCCAAAAATTTAGAGTCATTTCAGTTATTTGTTACCAATTTATCAGGAAAAACCCTAGTATCCAAAATACTAATACCTGGGAGGAAGACATCTTCAGAAATGCAAGAAAGATAAAGAAGCCAGAGTAAAGTAGTTTTTTGGTTGCAAAACAGATGTTTCTTACCCAGCTTGAACCATGAATAGGTTGAAATCACAAGGATTTGGTAGAACACTCATGCATTTGCTGTCTATCTGATGCTTGAAGTCTGCTCGTCCAACATGCACATCAAACCCTACAATTCTCTTGTCTGCCCCCACAGACAACACAATCTGCTTTTCCTGCATCCCAGCAACTCCCATGACAGCAGAGGAATGCAGATTTTTGTGCAGTGTCTTTGGCTTCCAAGAATTCTCCACATCTCGTTCACTCCAAAGTACAACAGCATGATCACTTCCACCGGTGACAAAACAGGTATTTTCCCATGGCATGAATGCTATACTGTTGATAATACCTTTAGAGTGAGGCTTATCCTCTAAGAAAGTCACACGACCTTTCTGTCAGTGCACAAATAAAGAAAAGTTAAATAAATTTAACACTTTTAAAGAAAAAAACAATAGAGAGAAAAAAACCATGGTCAGCAGGTGTCATGTCTGAAAAGAAGCAGCAGAAAATATATATTTTTTTTTTTTTGAATTATAAATTTTTATCATCATTCTTACCCCTTGTGTGTTCAGTTTCAAGATTGATATCTGAGAATCACCAGAATCAGCAGCATATGTGGAGAAAACACAGTCTCCCTGGGGGTGCCAGGCTATATCTTCTGGCCATCTTTGCCCAGGTGATGTACAGTTGTCAAGACGAAGAGATGAAGCAGATGACCTGCAGTTTAAGGAAAAAGAACAGGAGCCCAGATACAAAATGAGCATGCACCCCACACAGATAACAGAAATGGAGAAAAGCACATAGTTTTGACTAATGTCAAGTTATAAACAGAATAACACATTCGCAGCTTAAGCAACATATGTGAGTACTAATTTTAAAGTGACCCATCATCTTTTGTAAGGTGCAATAGTATTTGTAGAAGCCACTAAATAACAATAGTGCCAGTGATATAATATGGAGGAAACTCTATACTGCCTTAACTAAGAATACTTGATGATATTACAATGCAAGAAACAAAAAGACTGAACAAGATGAGTCTCAACTGAAAAGGAACACTTGCTCATTGACAATGAGGTCCTCACCCACACTGTAATAATGGTAAAGTTTTAAACTTAAACACAAGTTGATTTGCAAGTTTGTGCAGAGAATTAAAAGGTAATAAACCATATTTTTCAGAATTTGCTAAGAAAATCACAAACAAATCATTCATTACAACTGCGTCCTTCTCTGATAAATTATGCTTCAATCACACCTCAGTTGAACCCTGTACAGGAGTTGTTTTCCTCCAGCATGCATGTCCTCATTAAGGTTATTTACTGCCTTTAGAAAAGAAAGCTTCATCATAATCAAATTCAAAAAGAGAACAATTGTCCTTCCACAAAGTGAGTGCATGCAGAACTCCTTCACATGCATAACGTTCAGTCAAAGGGTAGACCTATCTTAATCTAATATGTACCATGTACCATGACTATGATATAATCTGATCATGAAATCAATCATACCACATAGTGTTCTTCATATTCACCTTACAATCTATTGAGCACTAACAAATAAAACCTATGCAGTTAGATCTGCGAGGATATTTTAGCTTACCCCCTAGACTGAATTTGCCACAACTTGATGTTTCCATCCAATGCACTGCAAATTGTCCAAAAATGGAGCAGGAATCAAAATCTGTAGAATTATATGATGAAAGCAGTAGTAGATCTAGAAAATGTGTAGTGACACACTGACTGTTCTTATTATCTATGGATGCAAAATTGAACTGAAAAGACCATATCAAAAGTTACTTGATAACTATGAAATATAAAGTAACAAAGAAACACAAGACACAGAAAATAAGAGTAACAAAAGATTCCAATATACTTTTTCCCCTTAAGCCCACGAATCACTATTTATTTATTATCATAATAGTAAAATCAAGGGAAAATTCTCCATATTAAGCAGTATGTCCATGCTACATGTGAACATGTCACCTCTTACAAGGTTCCAATGTTATATTTGTACTTCAAAGTTATTTTTGAATCAGTGCATAGGCTTCTGAGCATCACTCAGAGATGTAGTAGAACATTGTGATTCATGCAGTAGTATAGCCAGTTGTGGACAAGGACAAGCTTCAAGATGACAGCTACATCATATGCAGATTGCAGAACGAGATGCATGCAAAAAACCACCAATTAATGATAAATAAAAGCACCACTTCTAAAGCAATAATTTCAGCTAAGAACAAAGGTATCAGTACTTATCAAGTTACTCAAGTCTCACATGCCATATGCACACGTATGGCTGATAAATGTTCCTGAAACATGTAAGCACTCACTAGTAAAGCCTTTGCTACAGTTGAAGAAACAAGTGCAGATCTTTTACACAATTCCATCAGAAGGCCAATTGCTTAAAATCAATGGAATATGATCTTTCATATTATCAAAAGGAATAATTACCTTGTAACAAAAAGCTGATCATTCACTGGACACAATGCAAGACCTCTCAACTTTCTCTTGTGCTGACTAGGGATGTATGTGCTCGCATGACAATGGACTGTGCATGGTGAAGAGGCTTTCCGTATCAAAGGAATCAATTCCTTGTGTTCTTTTTGTTCTGAGACAACAGAAAAAATTGATGTGACTCTATCAAATGAAAAGAAACCATGAATCTACGCAAGAATAAAGCAGCGCATGTTGCCACATACAGCATTCCAGTATTTAATTCAAAACAAACACCCACATTAAGCATATACAATATGAAGGCATTAAATGGATGTGAAAGTTACCAAACTTCCTCTTAGCTCCTCTGTCTTTCATTTCAGCAACTCCCAGATTACTAGAATGTCTAGCAGATTTCTCAGCATTTACTTTTGTAGCACTATTTGAGGAACTGGAAGGATTTTCTTCACCACCAGAACCACTAATAGCCTTCATGGCAGAGCCCACTGATTTTAGAGGTTGGGAAATCTTTTGGTTCACAGAAGGGATTACAAGTTCTGTTCTAGAATAAGCCTGACTTTTGGAACCTTCATTGATATGTAGACCTTCATTGATATGTAGAGGACTAGTCGATCCGTGCTCCACCTTCACATGTCCATTACTAATTGCAACAGGACCACTAGGCGATGCCACAATCTGCTGTCCTCGAAGGCGAGCCAATTTAGATTGTGAGTCTTCTAACCTCTTCTCTGCTTGAGCAAGCTGCATATCAAATGATTAGTTTTCCAAGAATTGGCATCTTCTCTTTAAACTACAAAGAAGTAACTCCTATTCGAATAACTGATTACAAGAATAAACTTTTGAATACAAAGACGATATTACTAAGCATATAATGTATTTTACTAATACCCCTCCCCTGTATGTAAGCCTTTTTAGTACAGCTATGCAAAATAAGAATACTTGCTTGGAGCAGCTTCCCATGTGAAATCCCACCTTCTTTGGAACAAATAGTATGAAATGGTTTTTCAAACTCTCTTCTGATCACAGGGAAAATAATCATGAATGTTAAGAGCATAAGACAACAATTTTTTCCACTTCTTTCAGAGGTATCATTACTTTTTCTTTTACTTCATTTTTCCTTTTCCTTTTCCAGAATATACCGTATCATCACTTGCCATTTATCTTAAAATCCAACTCCATACCAACTCAAATATATCAACTCACTAACCACAATAGATTTTATTACAAAAATTGGCAATGACAATATAAACATACAACCCCAGAAAGTGCATTACTCAATAAGGGGGAAAGGGGCTGAAATGGTAAACTTCAAGGACACAAAAGAGCAACCTTTATAAGAAAAAGAGGAAGCACCAAAAGCACTGAAAAAAACCCTCACCCCAAACAGAGAAAAGAAGGCCATTACGAGAAAAATGAGAGGGAAACCGATGTACAACCTCAGATTGGTAATAGGCGACACGCTTCCGGAGGTGTTCAACTTCTCTAGTACGATGCTCGATCAAAGCAAGGAATGCCTCTTCTTGCTCTTCTCTAGTGGTTTCTTCTACTTCTTCTCCATTTTCTTCCTCCTCTACCTTGGGTTTCTTGAGAGTTTTCGACGGCGCTTTCATATCGGCGTTTCTCCGCCGTCTCCGAGTTGTACAGTCGCAACTACCACCAGAGACAACTGCCTTGTATGGATGGCGGAAACCACCAAAAGCAATCGGTGCTTCGTTTGGCCGCCTGGGCAATGCGGGAATATTACCAGGAAATATGAATTGCATAAGTTTCTTCTTTAATGAACCCCTTGACTTTGAATTTTAGAAAACAAGTTTCTCAATCATCAATAAATGCAATTGAGGTCCACCTATTGTCTAAAGAAAAATGAATTTTATACACTGAGAGTTGATGATTTTTTATTATTATTATTAGTACATGGGTTTAACATGTTGTAATGATTTATAAATCCACCCAACTACTCTTAGACTTAATTGAAAACGAAATTTTACTTCTCATCTTATTGACAAAAATTCAATTCTTTAAGAAAATTAATGAAGAGATAATAATAAATTCCCTCGTTTTAAAGTGAATTTTTGCCCTTGATGAGATCGAGGAATGGGTTTGTACTAAAGCTAGTTTGAGGTCCCTTCACTTTTAAACCAAGAAAATTTATATATTCATGCATCTATTATATATGTATATGTTGAAAGTTACAAATTTGAGGTCAATCCACGTGTAGAAGGTGAGGGGTGGGAGTGTTAGGAGAAGGAAGACAATGAACCAAATGTGTGTAGGTATTAGCTCATTTGAGCTATTTAGTTTAAGAATTTCATTGACATTAAAATTTAAATTCATCATGGTTCGCATAGAAAAATTTTATTTCTCAGCTCTCTTCAGTCTTTTGCCCTTTAACTTGGATTCTCAAATAATGAACAAATTGTTAGAAACCTTCGATGTTGCAAAACTCTACACGAACAAAAGGGGATGTATCCGCAATCACAAATCCTCAAATGATGGCACTTGGACGTTCAACCCCACTAGAAAGTGTACCAGTTAGCCAGTTGCTGAGAGCTGCGGTTCAAATTCCTGTCCCCCTCCCCCAAATTTGCCTCGTATCTAAATGATGAGCTTGCAATACGGGATTACAAGTAACGTTCTAAAATGAGCCTGAATTTTAGAACCTTCTTTGATTGTGCTCAGTGAGATAGAGAACCATTTGATGATGATGCCTTGTCCACTCATCAAAGGTGAGCCGACTTAGAGAGCAAATCTTCCAGCCTCTTTGCTGCTTGATCATGCTGCATGCCTGATGATTTTTCCACTCATCAAAGGTGAGCCAACTTAAAGAGCAAATCTTCCAGCCTCTTTGCTGCTTGATCATGCTGCATGCCTGATGATTTGTCTTCAGTGTCTAAGGGGTTATTTGCTTTCTAAGCATGTCCAGTTCTGTCGTTGGAAGCAGGACTGGAGAGGGCTAGAGAGCAATGCTACATCATGCTTCACCTTCCTTCAACCTTAGTTACTTGAACCAGACAATATACCTTTAACATTTAGCCCCTCTTTGAATCACAGGCAGTGCATATCATCCTGGCTCCATCTATTTCTGGTTTCAACTTGGCAAGCTCAACGAAGAAGCTGTTGTAGTGGCATCAAGGACTAACATAAAGGCAATGGGACCAGAGTAAGCCCAACCACACCAAGTTGACTGCTGCACTGCAAATCTAAAATAAATAAGAAAGACTGATTCTTTAAAACCTTAGATCAACTTCATTAAAGAAGGATGATGTCAGGAGCTTTAGTTGTCTGGCTAATCCATGATATCCACCAACATGAAAGAACCATTTCAAGCCACAAGATCAACTTCATCACGTTCTGGAGTAACCACATCTAATCTCATCATGCTCTTGTACTGATCTGGAATGGGTGCACCAGCCTGAACAAATAGCTCCACCACAGCTGGAGCCTTCCCATAATACCTCTTCAAATTGTTATGCAGTGGAGGTCCATTAGGATCTCTAACATGCCAGACATAATTTGGTCCAACAAGATCATCTATTGTTGCTTCTTGCCACGCATGTAAGCCATTTCGGGACTGGTGCTTTGTTGCTTTGCACATCCTAACTTTATGTCCCTTGGGACCAACCTGGACCTCAGGACAATAGCCACACGTCCACACACTGTACTTCTCCATGATCTTCTTCACTCCTGCTACCATCTCAAACCATGAGCCCATTGTCATGATACTTAGCTCTGTTAAATTCTTTCCTTGATTATTTGTGTTGTTTGAACGATCGTCTCTTACTTGTGAATCTGAATTCCCTATCAATTCCCCTCTATTGGGTACATTATAAGAGTCCGGTGAAGGATCAAGCTTTTGAGAAGACAACTTCATCCCCATTTCATCATTTCCCATATCTGACTCAAAATCTACAATTCTTCCTTCAATACAATAGACAGGTTTTGTTCTTCTTTTTGTAGGGTACTTTTCAATGTCTACCCCAGCTTGTATGCAAAGCTCTACAACAGCAGGAATTTGCTTGACACTATGCCACTCATCATGAGTAACCCTTGGTTTTCCAACACGGTCATAGAGATGGAAGCA